CCATTACTGTAAAGTTTCTAAAAATATGCATTGGCAGTTATGAAACAAAGAACCTTCTCACAAATTGAGCATTGTGTTTTCAATTGTTTTGCTGTAGTGTGTAATGATGTGTATAGTGTTTACATTTTTGAAAGCTTCGAGCTGCTCTTTTGGTGTGAAAGTTTGAGTTTTGAAGTGAGAAGGTGTGGTTGTGTTTATGTAGCTTTAGAAAAGGGTGTTGTGTTTAGACATTGGGGAACATGGAGGAAACGTTTGTGAAATGTGTTTTAGCATTTGAGAAAAACTGTAATATATATATAAAAAAAAATGAAGTTCTTTTGAACTTTTTGAACTTTTAGCAAAGAATACTGAACAAATGTATCAAAATATTAAGCAGCACAACTGTTTTCAACATTGATAAGATTATGAAATGTTTCTTGAACACCAAATCAGCAAGTTAGAATGATTTCTGAAGGATCATGTGACTGAAGACTGGAGTAATGATGCTAAAAATTCAGTTTTGCAATCAAAGGAAGACAACAATCATATTTAATACTATAATAATAGTATAATTACTGTTTTTTATCAAATAAATGCAGCCTTGGTGGGCATAAGAGATTTATTTCGAAAACATTAAACAAAATCTCACTGACCCCAAACTTTTGAACTGTAGTAGCCTATACATATCTATTAACATTCTTAAAGTGCACTTACAGTTTCACTATGATATATTATTATATAAAAAAAATAGTAATATGTATAAAAGCTGTAATGAGTGAGAGGCGATACAATGATTGTTTCAGTTGACAAAAACTGTTAATCAGCCTCATCAAGTGATCTCTGTGATTAATGCTTGTTTGCACCTGTACACATGACAGTCACTGTATGTGGCAATCATTCTTTTCCTTAAGCTTAATCATAATGAACAGAGCTTAATTTGTGAGCATGGCATGCATGAGCCTGCATACAACCATGAAATACATTCAATACATATGATTATATCACAATAAACACTTTTATTTTCATATAAAAACATGATTTACAAGGGCCTTTTCCACAACTGTGTTAAGCATGCATCAATACACAAGAAACAGGCAGATTTATGATTGGATTATAAAATTTGTCAATTTGTCAAGTCAGCTCCAGTGGCTAATTGTATATCAAAGATTACACCACAGCATATAATGATGATAATATTACCATAATGATATAAGAAAATTCTTTATAAATCCTCTGTCATGTCATTTTACTGTAAATTGTTATTTATTTGAATGGGTTTTTGTTTCCAGCACTGCCTCTTCACTTGTATCAAATGTAAAAGGCACAAATGGGGTATTGTGACCGTATGAACTGTAGAGGGCGACATAGCCTACTGTGTGTAATAGGCTTCTTTTAACAAAGAATCGTCATCTTCAGTCCTTTTGACCCATGCAAAGAAAATGATAACCTCTCATTTCTTTTTGGTCAGCTTTTCGTTCAGCTGTTTTGAGTATTATTATATTTACAGTAACCCACTGTTTAATACAGTAGGCCTAATATCCAAGTGTATTATGGCAAGACACCCTGGGTGAATAGGGTAAAAAATTTACTAAAAGATATCACCATACTCATCCAATTGATTGCTTACATTAAGAATGGCAAGTTTTCTGAAATGTTATGTTTAAGTATCCAAATGAGGCATTATCTAGGCTAATTAAACATACACTAATGTGCATTTCTAGAACAGAAATCTTAACATTGGATAAAGCTAGGTTAAAAATTGTTTACATTTTTTTTTTTTGGACATAATCAAAGTTTTTTTCAGTGATTTTGGATATCTCTTTTCTTTTTATCACTCCATAAATCAGAAAATACTGTCAACAGACAAAAAAAGCACATTTTCACCATTTTTGGGGGGAATAAAATGTTGTATAAAATCAGGCCAGTTATAATATGAACAAACCCCTCTGTAAAAACCTTCAGAATGTAGACCATACAACTTTAAAGTTTGGTGTATGTGCTGCTGAAGTGGAGGTTTCTGACTCAGAGCAAACTAAAAAACTCATTTTGAGAAAAAGGCCTTTAAAGGTATACAATGTAATTGAAATCTACAGATGCAAATATATAAAGTGGTATAAAAGATACTTAAAAGTGTGTTTTGTATGTTTTCTTTCCCCTAGTCTGAAAAAAACCCTTTATGAAAAGCTAAAAAGCCCCAAATCTCAAAATTGACAGATGCATGAAAAAACATTGTTTCTGTCTCTCCTTAAATGGGCTGCACCAACGGAAATTGCCAATTGAAATAAATAATTTCCAACTCTCAACTGGTTCAAACCGGTGCCTGCATTGAAAGTTTTTTTTTTTCTCCTTTGAATAGACTAATCATGTTGTACACAAAATACAATAATACAGGGTAACATGCAAGATGCCCCCCTTAAGAACAATGTGGATTTACTTTTAAACTGTAACATATAGATATAAGTTTAGCATGTGCAGGATGATGATGTGTTAGGAAATAAATAGAAACATTTTCTAATTATTTGTTATAGGACAAAATGTAAAATATTAAAAGAGGGGTAAGATGACCATGAGAATTAGAATTGTTGCTCTCCACAAAGTTGACCTAGGCTAGAAGAAGATTGGTAACACCCTGAAACTGAGTTTCAGTACAGGCCAGGGTCATACAGAGGTTTTCCAAGACGGGTTCCAGTCAGAACAGGCCTCGCAAGGGTCAGTCAAAGAAGTTGAGTCCTCATGCTGTGCGTCAGGTGCAGAAGCTGGCTTCAAAAAACAGACGCATGAGTGCTGCCAGCATTGCTTTAGAGGTTGCAGAAGCTGAAGGTCAGCTTGTCAGTGCTTAGACCATACACCGCACAACATGTCTTTTTGCATGGCGCTCGTCCCAGAAGGAAGCCTCTTCTGGAGCTGACTCACTAGAAAGCCTGCAAACAGTTTGCTGAAAGCAACCTGTCCAAGAGCATGAATTACTGGAACCATGTCCTGTGGCCTGATGAGACTAAGATAAACTTGTTTGGCTAAGATGGTGTTTAGCATGTGTGGCGACGCTCTGGTAAGGAGTACCAAGAAAATTGTGTCGTGGCTAGTCAAGCATGGTGGTGATAGCATCATGGTCTGGGGCTGCATGAGTGCTGCTGGTACTGGGGAGCTGCGCTTCATTGAGGGAAACATGGATTCCAACATGTACTGCGACATTCTGAAGCAGAACATGATGCCCTCCCTTCAGAAACTGGGCTGAACGGCATGATAACGACCCCAAACACACCTTGCTGACAACTGCCTTGCTGAGGAAGGTGAAGGTGATGGAGTGGCCAAGTATGTCTCCAGACCTGAAACCTATTGAGCACCTGTGGGGCGTCCTCAAGCGGAAGGTGGAGAGGCGCCATTTGTCTAACATCCAGCAGCTCTGTGATGCCATTATGGAGGAGTGGAAGAGGATCCCAGCAACAACCTGTGCAGCTCTGGTGAACTCCATGCCTAGGAGGATTAAGGCAATGCAAACAATGGTGCTCACACAAAATATTTACACTTTGGACACAGTTTGACATGTTCACTTAGGGTGTACTCACTTTTGTTGCCAGCTATTTTGACAATAATGGCTGTATGTTGAGTTATTTTCAGAGGACAGTGAATATACTGCTATACAAACAGCACATACTCTAAAATCTATCCAAGTTTCATTTCTATAGTATTGTCCCTTGAGAAGATAAATGTTTGCTGAAATGTGAGGGGTGTACTCACTTTTGTGAGATACTGTATATTTGGATGTTGTGGTGGTGGTCAGATATCCAACTTTTGTGGGGTTCCAGGACTTGCTTGAACTGTAAATGCTGTATGCAGCCCACTGAGACCAGCTGTGTTACTGTATTAACGTGAGCCGGTGAAATAAACCGTGCTCAACTCTGACTGAACTAGGCCATAATGTGAGAATGATTAATTACCTTAATGTTAATAATGCACTATGCACAAATTTGGGTATGGGTATGTAGGCTACTAACATTTAATACTTTTTTCTGAATATTGAACATTTTATGTAATTTTTGTTTTGTTTTGCTGTTATGGGTGGCTGGCTATCCCTTAAAAAAAAAGAAAAAAAATTCGAACTTCTCATCTGAGGTGTCTCAGCGGTCTGACACCGATCGTCAATCTCAAAATATTTTAGATGACCAATCAAATCAAAGTAGGTGGGCTTTATTGACTGCTGAGCGCGAATTCCAGGCAGCGGGACTCTTCAGTTAACAGGCATTTAAGTGTGAGATAATATGCTATGTAAGTAGCTAAACTAAACGTGTCATGTTTTACAACCGTTTTAAGATAGAAATGTTAAAAGACCGAAAAAATGATCGGGGGTGCAAACTTTTGTCTAATTTCGCCATTTTTAATTGAAAATAGGACAATATAATTTACGTGATTCAGCCTAATGTAGCCTAATGATTAACGCTAGTAGCCTTGGCTAACTAATGTGAGGGAAGAAACATTAACGAAGCCGTTAGCCTCACGAATGTGCACGTTTTGCGAATGAATTTAATAAACGTAGGCTAACATAGCTTTCCTGGTTTTCAGTAAATTAACTTAAGAAAATGATTGGTAAAACATAAATATCAGTTGACCCTCTGTTCACTTTATTCACAGACAGACTATCAGTCAGCTTTATGAGGGGAAGAGACAGCGCAAGATAAGGAGACTGATGGAGATGAGGAGAGAGCAGGTATTGACAAATAATCTACTGCCAGTGCCAACTGACATGGTTTTAAAGCTATTATTATCCAATTATTTTGGCCTTCAAACTCTTAAAATGCACATGTAGATCTCGGGAGAGCTGCTCCCAAGTTACCCCCCTAACTAGCTCACATTTGGGACTTATGTGATTATAAAACCCTGCATGCGACCCACAACGGCTTCAATCTCCAATCCCACGCGCCATTTGTATAGACCATAGACTGTAGGTATAGACTTATCGCGTGCCATTTACCTGAATCGCACCTGCGGGCGTCACTCCCAGTGACACGGGCGCGCGCATCCTCCGTCCTGCTCGCGCGCTCTTGAGGGAGCGGGATTCTTTTCAGTCCGCTGAAAGCTCAGTTTCACCGGTATGCTTTAAACTGTGTCTACCTTTGTCTCTGACAACGCCGCGCCAGTTTGATGGGGAATTCGATATCAGGGCGGGAAAATGCCTGTTATGAAGGGATTGCTCGCGCCGCAGAACACATTTTTGGATACTATAGCGACGCGTTTTGACGGCACACGTGAGTTATTACGATGGCATTTTACCTTGTTTGTGGTCAAAAACTATTTTGGGGTTCTAATGAAACGATTTTTTTTTCTTGAGCAGGACATAAAGTATGTAATTTGATCGTTAAAGTAGACAAATGTTTGTCAGAACAAGTGCACTGTGAAAAGGTAGGCTATTTACTCAATTAAATTACATAGCCTATTAAAAGCAGTATGATTAATTAACGTTATACAAATAGGTTTAGAAATGAGCATGTAGGATTAGCTTCTTTAAGTCGAATCAAACAAAATGAGTATGCAAATAGATAATATGAAAAAATCAAGCATAACTCTTTTGGAATTAAAAAAACCCCAATGCTTATACTAGTAGGCTACTAAATAACAACTTTTGAATGTTAGTTTGTTCTTTCTGATAACATGGTTTTAAATTGATTTAATGTAGGCTACTTCATTTCGTATGCTATGAGAAAGGTATTTGTACTACTGTCAACATCACATGAATACTAAAAAATCACTCAAAGTAGAGGATGATTGAACTCATCTCAACATATTATATATAACATGAAAGTTTTTAATATATTTTTATATTGTAATATTTTCACATTGAATCTCCAAAATAATGTAGAAATAACATAAAGACTGTATATGTTAGATATGTTTTTAATGGTATCTTTTTCTTAAACACTATGAATGTAGATCAGCCTATCACTGATACCAGGACTGATACTAATGTCTCTATTTTATTTAAAATATTTTCTCAATTTTATCCATTAATTATAGCCATTCAGCATTACAATATAATTAAAAAGCTATCAATTTTTAAACGTAATAGGCTTTATAAAATTAAAATTGTTTAACTTAAGTGAACATAAACTGATTGTAATAAATGTCACATTTAACTGTGCCATTAATATATCAGGGCTCAACGCTGAGATTTTCTTTTCTACTGGCCCAGTCGGGTCGATGATTTTTACCTGCTCTGCTAAAATGCACCAAAAAGTTATTGTTTCAGATGTTTTTGACCCATGTAACTTTGTAAACAGTGCTTTAAGATTTTCAGGTCGAACAGGTAGGCTATATAATACAGAAATTGAATGATCCTTCACTGCATAAATAAATCGAATATAGATTAATCCTTATTAAAGCTACAAAAGTTTTTCAGTCAAGAGCAGTGAGTGAATTTCTTTTTGTCTTTTGTTCTTTAATTAACATGAATGACAGACAGCAGCAGGTTTATTATGCTGCTGTCACTTTTTAGACTTGACGCACATGACTCGGATCTGACTGATATTTTCTCACAACGCTTTGTTCATTTAACACTTTTTAACTAATTTAAGAGTGTGCTCACGGGGATACTCGACAAAACGGGAATTTTGAAATAATTTTGTGTGTTTTTATCTGTTCAAGCGCAAATGCAGCGCTGTCTGAAGCGGCATTATGTGCGCGCGTTTCGGGTGTTTGTTCACAGAGAGCAGCTTCACAGACAGCGTGCCAGTAAAGACTTGAGTTCCTTTTTGTGTCGTATCACGCTTAAATGGTTTAATAGCACTTGAATGAATGATAGTGTGATCATATACATAGAGCAGCCAAAGGTTGACAGGAAAAAAAAAACGGATGCTGCATTAATTGCGTTAAATACTTTAACTAAATAAATACGTTCATTTTGACATTTTAACTTGTTAAACTGAAAAAATTTAATTGCAAAATTAACGCGTTAATTTTGACAGCCCTAAAATGTCAAAATGAACGTATTTATTTAGTTAAAGTATTTAACGCAATTAATGCAGCATCCGTTTTTTTTCCTGTCAACCTTTGGCTGCTCTACAGTACAGTATATGATACTTGTGAGGTAACGCAGCACTGTTTCACTTGGTCTAACGTTACACTATCACACTAAACTGCATTTGAGTGTGTTGAAAGTTATAATGTTATTCTTTGTGTTAGTTTGTTGGCTGTATGAGACTAGCAGTAAGCTTGATAAACATTAGAATAACATACTGATCATATTCTAACATTTTATCATGTTGTTGAGCTATATAACATTGATTTGTTTTATGTAAATTTGCTCATCTGTCTAATAAAGTGCATGCAAGAGCGGCGTCTCTGTCAAGTCGAAGTTAGTCGCGGACGTGGAGCTCTCGGCATTTTGAAAACGCCACGCCGATATTGATCCTCGTTTTATTTCTCCTTTTGTCCCAAAGTCTGCTTGCCATGGTCCATAATGTTGGAACGAAACAACAACAGCGTGTGCTAGACGTAACGCAATTGTTCACGTCTGTCGCCATGGTTACTATGGCAGTACAAGCGGAAACCAGGGATAACGCAGATATTACGTCATTGACAGGCGACAATGACCAGGGACGAGCCATTATTTAAAATAGGAATTTCTCTGAAATTAAAAACCTTTGGGAACTTTTTGGATATTGTAAGTACCCAACTGCAGGAAATATATCACACTGTGCAAGTGATTTTTGGATATTTTATTACAAAAATCTTACATATTGTACCTTTAATGCAATTAATGCAGCATCTATTTTTTGTCCTTTCAACCTTTGGCTGCACTCCATTCACAAGTGTGTTTTGTTGAAAGTTTTGGCATTGAAAGCACAGTACTGCTCTCAAACTGTGCATCTGCTCACTCAGCACCATGGACAGCGCATGAGGGTAACCCTGGCTAGATCAGTCAAGCACTTGGGCTGCTTTGATGCTTAGATCAGTGGTTCTCAGTCCAATCAGCCGCCCAGGACTGCACATTTTGACACCCATGTCAGGTCTTCGAGGTAGCCTACTAATGAACTGATTAGTTGAATCAGGTTTGTTAGATTAGGGAGACCTCCAAAATGTGCACACCCACTGACTTAGATTGCAATGCATCACTTGGCTGTCCTAATGTTTATTTTATTTTTATATAGAGCTCAAGTAGGGTTGATAGAGATAACAATCGGAGGGCTGTTTAATTAAAGTTTAGACCAGATCATGCACGAAAAAAGACGCGCTTAACATCCTGATGAAATCCCTTGCGTGGCCCCAGGTAAGGACCAACATTGATCAAATATAATTGGTCGACCACAGAGCAGTCAGGCGGTGTTTCATCTCAAGGTGTATTGTGCGTTGTAAAAATGAGTCTGCTTGCTTGAGATCTGGCTTTCTTTTGTGCGATAACAGTTTACAGCTTTCACAGAACAAATCCTGTCAGCTTTTATCATTTTGTTTTGGTGTCCTAACAGAAAAAAACTTGTACCATCCTGCCTTATCACTACATTCAGGTAACTTGTTTTCCCCCATCAAGGTCTAAGGTTTGAGAAATGAGGACCGAGAATGTTTTATTTTAGCACTAGGAGAGAGAGAGCTCCCACCACAGGAATCCTTCTCAAGGGACATGCTGTCCTCTGGGCTGCTGGGTCCATATATTACCAAACTGTGATGGCGTACACCCATGTGACTGGTTTGTCCTTCAGGGGAGACTACCTGTATGGCTGTCACACCTTGGGCTGCCGCAGGTAACGTGGCTGAGAATAGCACAAAAATGGCTGGAAATAGTGCCTGCCATATTGGAAGGAAAGTGACAACAATGACAGAGGGGGGGGGGGGGGGGGGGGGGGGGGGGTAATAGAGAACATCCCATTAGGCATCATCCACAGTGGCTTTCTAAAAAGGATACATGTGGAGAGCATTACCTGGATGTGGTGTGTGTGTGTGTGTGTGTGTGTGTGTGTGTGTGTGTGTGTGTGTGTGTGTGTGTGTGTGTGTGTGTGTGTGTGTGTGTGTGTGTGTGTGTGTGTGTGTATATATATAATAATAAAGAGAAATCTGTCAAAAAGTTATTGCCATTTATTAGGCAAATAACGAACTGAAACAACTAAATAGTCTTTATGCACACAAAATAACCAAAAAAAAACATTTTAATTTAAAAATGTTAAATAAATATGTTGAATGCTGTCCTTTGGCCTTGATAACAGCTTGCATTCTTGCTGGCATTGTTTTTATGTATAGTACTTTTCCACAGTCTATGTTGACTGACTTCCAAATAGTTAGTTCCAAAGACTTGCTTTTGATGGAACTTTTCTGCAATCTATCTTTGAATCCACTAAATCCCAAATTTGTTCAATAGGATTCAAGTCCAGACTTTGACTTGGCCAACTGTGACTAAAGAGCTTATCCATACTGGTGGATTAACCATTACAGAAACATAAAAAATGATTTTAGTAATCAACAATACTGTCAGTTTAGGGCAGCTGTGGCACAAACCTTACATTGGGTGGTGGTCTAATATATATAATATATATATATATGTGTGCACACATAAACATACTGTATATGCATATATATACACACACAGACACCACACACACACACACACACACACATATATATATTATATAAACACAAACTTTTTAGAATCGATTCATCACGATTAACAGCACTAATATATATATATATATATATATATATGTAGATGGATGTTTTCTTCATTACATCACAGACACAAATGAAAGAGCGCACACTCAAGCCAAAGCAGAACCTTGGCCAGTTTTGATTTTGTATGTGCTGTGCAACTGCAAATTGTTTGTGAGGATAATGTGATGCTTGTCCATACAAAATTTGCCACCATGATGCCAAAATGATCTACGTTGTTGACAGGGTGTGATATAAATAAATAGTTCACATAAATGGCTGTTGAGATAGAAATGAGTAGAGGCTTTGATTTATAAACAACATTAAAAGCTTGATTTTCACCACAGGGGGACTTTTTAGACAAAGTGTCAGGCTTGAACAACACAAGTTTTTGTGTGTGTGTGAACTGTTCCTTTAAAAATTAGGTTCAGGATTTTGAAAAATGAAACATTTTGAGAAATAGAAAAAGTGATGCTTTCCTTAGCGAGCTTCACTAATTACAGCCTTTACCTCATAATTTTGTGCAACATCTGAGTTGTATAAGAAAGCATGCTGACTTGTTATTGTCAAGAGAAGCTATACATGTAAGCTAGAACTCCCCTCTGCAGCATCATAATGT